TTCAATCCGACCCCTTCATCTGCTGTTTCCCGTTGAGGAAGGCTGAAGGTGCCTGAAGACTCAATAACTAGGCAGGGTCGGGCTGACAAGGGAAAGGATGGTAGGTCGAAGTGGCCGTTTAAAATGAGATGTATACCACCTGATGCGTCTCCAGACGCTGATTCCAAATCTGCCTTCCAAATCTGCTAAACGGCTCTCCGAACGGAGTTATGAAGCGTAATAGCTCAGTGGTGATGGTCCGGGGTGGCAGGTAAAAGCTCGTAGGATCGGTTCCTTTGCAAGTTTGTTGCTTTGCTTTTGTCCGCAACACTTCTAGAGACAAAAGCAAAGCAACCAATTTGCAAAGGAACCGATCCTACGAGCTTTTACCTGCCACCCCGGAGCTATTACGCTTCATAACTCCGTTCGGAGAGTCGTTTAGCAGATTTGGAAGGCAGATTTGGAAATCAGCGTCTGGAGACGCATCAGGAGGTATACATTTCATTTCGAACGGCCACTTCGACCTTACCATCCTTCCCTTGTGAGAAAAAACTAAGGAACACAAGCCGAGCGCAGTTTTCTACTCCATTGGGTTGCCTTGTCGTGTGGGGCCGTGATGGAGGCTGATGGCTGCTCCCGCTCCACGACTGTGATCAAGGTTACTAGTAATCAAACAGATTCCCTATGATCCCTGCGAAAGAGTTGGCTCTCAGGCCATCTTCAGCCTTTCGAGAAGAAGAAAATCCTATGACGCAGCCAAAAAAAGGGGTTCCAATTTCAGTCTCTGTGGGTGGTGGGTGAAGGGGACCGACAAGTTGGCTGTGTGTTTCTGGAGTATAAGAGAGCAACAGTGCATATCTTAATTTTCAGGCTGGGTTCTGGTGATACAAATAGCTGCAAAAGAGTCAGGGCGGCGAACTTTGCGATCAACTTTATGATATGTGAGGCGAAAGCATTTCACTAATAAGTCTGAATTCAAGATGAAGTGTTTGAAACGGGAATTTCAACTAGAAAAAATTTTGAAGAACGACGGAACTTTCTAAATGAACATTCATAACCAACCTTGATTCTGAGAGAAACAACGCCGCGAGACCCAAACTCAAACTAACGGAGTAACCCATTGTTACTCGTGAAACTGAATACATTATAACACTAGGAATCTGAAATCGATAACAATTGAACATGATATAATGCCTTATTTGAGGCTCATTTACAAAAACTCACAAACTTGGACCCTACTGAGAGCCCTGCAGAAACACATCCAATAACCATAGATACATAAAGCCCTTGCTTCCGACCGATTCGATCGGCTATCAATCGAATTGAAAAAGATCCAGCAAGTGCACCAAGAAACAATATGGCGACAATCAAGCTCCAAATTTGCTAGAAATAGAAAAGTAAACACGTAGAGGGGCTTACCAAAGGAGGGGCTTTCTAAGGAACTTTTGAAGGGACATAAGTAAATCAACATCGTCAAGCGTACTAGTCACAGTTATGGAGGCCAAAACTGCCATACTGCTATATCAAGTTTTCAAGCAAATTGTGAAAGAACACGGCACCACAGACACACAGACTAGCAAGAAAAGCAGAGCAAGATACAGATAGTCGGGCCAAAAGGGCCGCCGATGACATGTGTCAAAAATAAGTGCCATTGTGGTAGTCAGGCTTCGCCTTAAGGCTGTTTCCTGCTAATTTTGACCACTCAGAATTTGCTAGGAACTTCATATAGCTGTATTTTCTTCATACTTGTGAGCAGCGTGATAGGCTCCATCGATTTGCGTTGGTCCCAACTTAACCCTTTCCGACCGCCTGACACCCATGGGGCGTCAGGAACTTCAAGAGTTGATTTTTCCAAGGTTCGTTTTTCGGTAAGGTGTTTTATGTTTTTACATATCTATCTAATACACTCATATCGCACGTATGAAAAACCTAGACTTCAATCTTAATCTGGTTTCTAAAATAAATGAAAAGTAAATGGACTACACACTGGACGTGCCACTTTGAGCTCATGGAAACAGTTGAAATTTTCTTGAAAGCACTTCATCCCTAAGAATTAATAAAATGTCGTACACGTCGTATCTGATACTTCCGAATGCAAGCTTTTCAGGCACGTTCTTTCTTCTTTTTTTTCCACAACAACTTATTTTAAACAACTTTCGTTTCTGCCTCCTTTTTATGGCTGTATCAAGTTTTTTCCATAACAATATCCTGTCATATTGGCAAAATATATACTTTTAGACATGACAAACACACAAACGAGACAGAGCAATGGTTCCAGTGGAAGTACAGATTAAATATATGATATTTATGCTTGCCGCCAGCAAGCGGCGGTGAGTATAGAAAGTGTGCAGTCCGGAAAAGGTTAAAATTCTGTGGGGAGCTAAAAGTTCCCACTGGTTACTGTAAATAAAACAAAAGGCAGCACTCACAGACAGAGCGTTGTCGCTGGCATTGATATGAAGTTCGGATTGAAGAGATTCGTTTAAAAATTGCATAAAGGCGTATAACTTGAGCAGGATTGGTGATCACCAGTTGGTAACCGAAATGAAATGAGCCACCAAGTGACACCACTAAAGCCACCATTACCATTCGAAGACTAGGTTTTCGTTTCATGATCTGAAATAGACCGGATAAAAAGACAAAGCTGTGCTCACTGAATAATTAGTGATTGCTGGAATTAAATTGCTGATGAATACTATGGCAAAAATAGCCGATAACAAGAAGAGATAACACGGAACAGCAACGAAATAAAACATAAAGGTAAGCTGAAATTTTTAGGCTCTTCAACGGATTTACGTGATGGCAGGGGAAGACAGCCTGCTCAAATGGAAGGAGGGCCAACGGATTTGCGTACAACTCAAGATAGGGCACGCATGCTGGGTTTGATGTCGATTAGTTCGGGTCGGTAAAAAAAGGGTTGGTTTTGCCCATTTCTTGGACCGGAAAACTCCGTTTTCTCTCCAACAAACGCAGGCGTGGGATTACTAGATCATAAGTACCCGGTTCTTTGAACCCTTATCTCATGTCGTACTTCGTTAGGGCGCAGTGCGTGAGTAGGCAGGAACATTGTGTCTTGGCTGTTCCAACTGACTTAAATTTTCCGCGGTCGGGATGTACACTGAAACCACATACAATTTCACGAAACCCGGCTATGCCCTTGTTAAATTGTCAGGTTTATTTACCGAAAAGCTCTAGTATTCCGTAGGATCTGTTTGTCCCGCAAACACTAGAATACTTCTCGCATGAAACAAAGGAAGGTTCATGCTGACCAAAAAATGTCATAGATATCACACGTTTCGATTTTTAGAGCAGTAGTGGTAAAAATGATTGTTTATCCGTATTGCGCCATTTCTCAAGTCTGGTGCCTAATGGCAAGGTTGAGCATCAGGTCCTTGTCTCAAACTGTGGCAAAAAAGCCTAGTTGATAGGACAGAAGGCTTAGAAGGCCCTGACATGTAATGGGCAAGTATAGGGGACTAGAAATCTCTCGTTAACCTTTCTTTAGGTGTAGTTCTGAAGGCTTCCATGGGTGAGTACTTCTAAAATTCTTCTACTTCCAAATTAAAGAAATGCGTTCAATGGTGACAACCATTCCAAGGGCGACTAAGGTTGGAATGACCATTTAAGGCCCTGCGAGGGGTCCCGAACCAGGGTCGGTCCTATCGTTGCTACTTTTCAAAAAGTTTTTACGACCCCCCTCCCTCATGAAATGTTTCATACGACCCCCTCTTTCAAAACAATTTTTACCCCAAAAAATTACCGTCGAGCGGGGGGTATATACACGCGCTGAAACGGCAAATTTTCTCCCGCGCCGCTCCCCACTCATCACATGCAACTTCTTACAACCGAAGCAAGTACGACCCCCCTCTACAAACTCACCAAAATACGACCCCCCGTTGCTACTTGTAGCAACATAGGGTTGACCCTGGCCCGAACTGGTGGTGAAGTGAGGCTACGACTATTACTGCTGCAGCAAATTCCAACTGCACTTGTCAGAACTGCCAATGACCGAGTGGGTTCGAATTTCAAGGAAGCTGTTAAAGTTTTAAGATGCCCTACGATGTTACTGAAATTTTCTGAAGAAGTTGGAGAATCAGTACTCAAATAAATTGGTCTATGGATTAACTGTCCCCAAAAAATTTGCTGAAGCAAAAGTAGAAGGCATTAGTCCAGAAATATGTATGCCATTCAACGAATGTATCAAGTCAGAAAGGCGAGTATCACTCATTATGCAGTAATGTGGAATTACTTGCGTTGGAAAAATTTTACACTTTGGTTGTGTTGATGAAGCCACCCAAAGGCAAATGGCGCGACAAAATAGGTGGGGATAGGAGAAAATGTGTTCTGTCTACGCTGAAGGCTACAGCCAGTAGAAAGGAGGGGATCGATGGAGACATGTAACGAATGGATATCTGTGTTTGGGCAGTGTAGGCCTGCGCCGATCCTACCGCGTGATCGCTGACGCGGAGTTGGTAGACGGAAGCTCGTTCCTCCAGGTAGCACGCCGGCTTATACGTAATTACGGACTGTTGCGTGAGCTATTTACCTTGCGGTGAAAGTATATAATTAATGAGCATGGCAAAAGAAAGAGGCAAGGTCAAACGTTATGGCATGATCTACGTGCAGGGTCAGTCGTTGAGATCTTATTTCAGCTCTATTAAATCATATCTGGCATATAATATCAGAGCTGATCCCATACCGTGACGCGGAGGTTCCTCGCTCCTTAGTCAACTTCTCTTTTTAACGGCAACCCAATTCAATGAGCTATATATCGCTTTGCATTCGTTACCCCCCCGCCTTTTTCCCTGCCCCTTTCCCCCCTTGGTTCCTTTGAAAGGGGCCCCCTCCCCTTCCCCCATTCCCCCCCCTTCCCCCCCCCCCCTCCCCCCAGTGAAGTTTGGGTGACTCCACTGTCACCAGTGCTCACATGTGGTAATGTAACGGTTTTGGCATGTTCTCTCTGTAGTTCCGTTGAAAAACAAGTCTCACATATAAAGTTACTGAGCGCAAAACTGCTGGTAGGACTTTCCTGAAGATGGGGCATTGTTCTCTGCACTTTATCACGGAGACTGAGCGCCTTTTATTGGTTGGCCCCTTACATAATGAGTGCTTCTCTCGAATATGGAACGGTAGAACAATAGTCCATAAGTAGTGATAGGAAGAAAGACAATCGTCACGCGCGTCTTTACAAACGGGGGCACCTGCTACATTCTGGCCCGGCTGATGAAGTGCGCCATGCGTTCTGCCTCAACTTTGTCGAGTAACGACAGAAGTTACGAGGAGCATTTTTGATCTCCAATCGTTCCTAGGCCACGAGCAGTGAGACATTATAAATCAGGCGCTCAACGGCTTTTTGAGATACCATCGTGGGGCTGAGTCTGTGGTCAGCAAGTAAGCCCGATAATGGCGAAGATGAAGTTCAGGTTGGGTCACAGCTAGTGCCCTACAATATCTCGTGTTCCACATGCGGAGTGGCTGGGAGCTCTTTCACCTCTGCGCACGATGCCTTTTGGACTGCCTGCCTCTGTCTGCCGTGGGTCAAGAATAGGAAGGCTTTTACTCTCGGTGTTTTCGGCTAATCGTTTTCATTTTCCCTTTTTGACGCTGAAGCTTGCAGCTGTAGATTCGTTTCGAGCGAATTATCGCACCAATGTCGTCGTGGGAAATGCTCAAGCCCCGTATCGTTCGCACGATAAGCGGTGCCGCAACAACCAAACCATCCCTAGGAACTACAGTTTATAAAACATGAGCTTCCAGTGTAATAATTTTGTGAAGAGCTTCTTGTGTAATAATTTTGTGAAGAAAACAGCAACGATTGCCGCGAAATAAATTGCACCCAAGCGACAAAGTATAAACGTTGAAGGCAGGAAAGAGTCGAGTTTGACCCTGTCATCACAATGTGTCAAAAGTTGGTAGGAATCGCACATTGGACGTGGTCTGCTCTTCCTTTGATTCCGGAAGTTCTCAGAGATGACTATTAAAAACATCTGCACAGACATGAAACCGGTCACGCTTAGCAGCCGATCACTGTTCAGCGTCGACCACGTCATTTATGTGTTCCAAGGAATCCTGTCACTAGCATCTTTCCAGTAACGTGCACGTGGTGCTAATTGCCTTTAACAGCAGCTCATAATTAGCTCCAGTCGAGTTTAATGTTACCTTGACCTTGGTAGTGTGCTCAGAGGAATCCCTCACGGAAAAATCATGATTCTATTTCAGCCATAAATCACTGGCTTGAGACTCATTATCCACGATAAGAATGAAAAGAACAGAAATATTGCTTTTGTTTTGGTAAAAAATTCGAAAAATCGAAAGGGCTGCTACGCGTTCAAAGTGCCCACGGACGTCTTTCACAAATGCTGGCGACGGGGATGCTTCCACTTGGTTCTTGGAGTGCCTTCACTAGAAACTCTTTCTGGCCTTTGCTTATTGCATCTCACACTTCTACTCCATCCTATTCTATCGATCGATTTGTCTCTACTCTCCAAAATCGCGCGCTTTAACCCGATTTTCATTGCGTCGCCTGATACGTAGCCGCCAAAGGCGGACTTCTTTCCATGCCCCGCCTTTGGCTCCGGCCTTTACCTTCGATTGTCCATAGAGTGTAGTTTTTGTACGTTTGTTTCTCTTCGGAAACCGAATCTTCATGCGTGAAACTTTGTGTGCTATTTCCAGTGATCACAACTGACACATTCATGTTGGAAAGAATGCAAGAATTTTCCGCTAAGGATTTCTTTGAACGTAGAGTCTCAACGTTCCATCAATTAGCACGCTACTTTCATCAACACTTCAGAACATGTTATTATTCAGGCGCTAACCTAAAGGCGGGGAGAATGAGTACTTTGTTGTGTTGCACGCGAGGCAGTCAAAGCTACGATAAGCATAATCGAAGTTTTAAATAAGTAGTAAACACCCAGGTAGGCGTGCCGCGTGGGAACATCAAAAACTG